ATTTTTTAAATAAAAAATAATTATTTTTAATTAATATGATAAAAATAAATAAATATAATTATTATGACTAAAAAAATAAATTATTAAAATTTTATATAAATATAAAATTTTATAAACATATAATATATAAAATTGATTCGTAACTGAATCTTTGTTCGTTTTAGCTAATACTATAATAATTCCATTCGATCCCTAGGTATTGCATCGTGGTCTTTTGTTAAAATTACACAAGTGACATGACAATTGTGGCTTTTTATTAACTTATAATTTTTTTTTTAAAATAGTTAGCTATATGGCATTTAATAATACTAATAAATATCAATTTTATCGATTAACAGTTACAATCATCCATGGTTTCAAAAGTCAAATATTGTGGCTTAACAAAAAATTGTTAGGAAGTATCTATTTTTTTTATTAATTTTTTGATATTTAATAATTATATTAAATTTTAATCAATGTAAAATTAAATCACATCAAATTTTATTTTGAAAAAAAAATTTTAACACTTATTTTTTCATTTATAATATTCAAATTTAAAATTTTATTTTTAAAAAATCGAGATTCTTGCATTCAAATTAACAAAATCATGGTGTTTAGTCGTTGGTGTTTGGAAGTATCTATGCCTTCCTATTCCTTCAACTTTAGTTTTTTGACTTTTAAAATTTTTAAATATTAAGTTTAAATGAAGATTTAACGAGGTATCAATTTTATAATACTAATAAATATCAATTTTATCAATTAATAGCTATAACCATCAATTGTTTCTAAAGTCAAATATTGTGGCTTAACGAAAAGTTGTTTGGAAGTATCTATGCCTCTTTATTCATTCAACTTCAGTTTTTTGGCTTTTTAATTTTTCAAATATCAAAGTTTAAATGAAGATTTAAAAAGGTATATAAATGACAAATTTAAAGTTTCCTTTTTCATTACATTGTTCTTATTGAATAGTTTTATTTCATAAAAAAATTAGTTGTCCTTTTTATAATATATTAAATTTTTATGTAAAATTAATATGCAAAAAGTCACATAAGAATAACTGAAGTTGAATGATAGTAGTATGACTTCAACTACTTCATTTTATTTTTTTTGTTTATTTTTAATTACAAACTTATTAAATACAAGTCCAATTGTCACACTTTTTACTTTTGTAATGACATTAAGAACT